GTTTTATCCGCTGCAAACTGGCACTTGTCAACAAAATTTTGCCTGTGTGCTGTCACCTGTCAGCTGATTGCTCATGCCATGGCATGCTATGACTCCAGACTCCTGAACTGTTTGCTGTGGTAGTATAGTTCATTTTGTTTTTAAGACATGTAAAATTAGGAACACTTTTTAGCATTGTTCGATGTTGGTTGCAAATTTTTTGTCCAATACTATATATATATATATATATATATATATATATATATATATATATATATATATATATATATATATATATATATATATATATATATATATATATATATATATATATATATAATTTTTCTCATATTTAAATAACTTCTTATAATTTTCTCATTTTGCAGAGTTTAAAATAGTATAAGTTTCTGTTAAAATTTACAGCTTGAGTTTTAATTTAAAGTTTAAGTTGCAGTTAGTGTTGCAGTTAGTTAATGAGCAAGTTATAATGTAATGAGCAAGTAACATATTTAATACTATTGCGATATTACTTTTAGTAATTGTTTTAACTTAATATGATACTTAAAAAAGTAAAAGTAAAAACGCTAATAAAACAATATTTAAATCACTTTAATTAGTTATAAAAAAACTATTTAATAGGTTTATGCTGACAATAAAACACATGTTATTTTTAAAGGGTATTGAATTGTTATTGTAAAAAACTATAAAACAATAGTAAAACAAACTGCAAAGTTATTTTGACAATATAAAGAGCTTGTTTTAAATGGAAAGATCGTTTGACTGTTATAGCATTTATTTAGCCATTTAAAGCGTTTATTAAATCTCTGACAATAGTTTGTATCTTATGGTTGTCATATTAATTTTTAATAGTCTTTGGTGATATGAAAGATTTTATAATCCATGAACTAATTTAGATCCTCTTCTTAGTATATTTTCCACTTGTCGTTTATCTTTTAGTAGACGAGGGTGAAATACAAATCCACAATATTCTAAATATGGTTGAACTAGTGCTGAAAATAGTCTTTTAAAACAAAATAAATTTAGATAAGAGAAGGATCTTTTTATTAGAAATATTATTCGCATTGCTTTATTAACATGTATGGAAGTATGTTTAGAGAATAGTAGTTTATTATCGATATGTACACCGAGGTCAGTTTTTGGTTTGGTAGATTTTATGCCAATCCTTGTTTTCTTCACTGGATCATACATAGAATATGCATGGTGTTTGTTTTTGTATTCTAGGTGTAGAACTGAACATTTTTCTGCATTAGATTTCATCCCCCATTTAGTTGCCCAGTCATCCAAGATATTAATATCATTTTAAAGTACGGTGTGTGAATGCAAATTAGTAAGAGGGTAAAATATTTTTGTATCATCAGCAAAAAGTGCTGCATTTAAAGTAATTATATTGGGAATATCATTAACGTATATAATGAATAATAGAGTTGAGAGAACAGAACCTTGAGGAACTCCACTTTTTACTGGTACCCAATCAGAGTAATTACTATTTATCATTACTCTTTATCTTTGATTTGTGAGAAAGTTTCTTATTCAATAAAAAATTGAGCCATTAATTCCATAGGCTTTTAGTTTCAAAAGAAGATACTCATGTGGGACTTAGTTGAATGCTTTTTCAAAGTCAAGGTAAACATTTTGACGAGGAGACCTTTATCTAAATTACGTGTCTATGTATTAATTACAGTTGGAAGATTTGTTTCACAAAAGCGCCCCAGATAAAAACCGTGTTGACTAGGAGTTAGCAGATTATTTTTTAACAGATGGGTAAAAATATGTTTTTGTATTATTTTTTCAAATATTTAACTATGGTGCATGTTAAACTAATGGGTCTATAGCTTGTAACTAGTTTTTTGTCTTCTTTTTTAAATATGGGTATAATATTTGCATCCTTCCAGATTTGTGGCAATGTACTAGTTTGAAGTACCTTAGTATGAATAATAGAAAGATGTTTAGAGATTTGGTTATAGGTTTCTTATAATATTCTTGGATGTATCTCATCTGGGCCCAGTGATTTAAATGACTTTATCGAAAGAAGATGAGATTCAATGATTCAGGAGATAGATAGATTTAAAGTAAAATAAAGTAAATAAATAGAATTGATTCAAATTATAAATTAAATAGTATTGTGACTTTTTCACATTTATGTTTCACATGTTTGAAATGAGTAAGATCAAAGTTAAAAAAACATTAGATACGTTTTTAATAATTTATTGTTTCTTGATCTAGCGTAATATTAAAAGTTTAAGTATAATTAATTTTTTTATTCAAATGGTTTTTTAGTAGTTTTAAGTAATTTTTTCATTTAAATTGTTTTGCAAAAGAAGTGAAAGAAAAAAATTTGGTCGAATTATGTTAATTATATCTTATGCGGTCTAAACTAATTTTATTTTTTTGCTTGTTGCCCTCTCATCAGTGGAGACTTTTAACATAAGAAATATTTATTGACTTCAATATATACATCAACTATTTTGTAGCTGCTGTAAGGGAGTGCCTCTACATTGACTGAAGGTTTGACATGGGGCAACAATCTTTTCTTTCATTATTCTTTGTTTTTTCCTTCTTTTTCTGAAAACATTGCTTATATTAATGTATATACAGGCCTTTTTCCAAATAAAAATGACTTAGCACTCCTTGGTTCCTCATGATTTTGACTTCATAAAATTATCTTTATTTTTTTTATTTACGGGCTTTTTTTAAACTACCGCAATAAAATAAATTACTTCAAAACAAGTTTAATTTACTAATTAAGAAAAACAAATCTAGAAGTGTTATTTTGTAAATGTACATATTGTGGAATTTCTATTTTATTAGTGACTGTGGACAAAAACTGGAACAAACTTGTACAAACCGTATCAATTTATATACAGAACGATTGGTTCATTCTCTATTCAGAAGTGTATACCAAAGTAGGCAAGATGGCTATTTTTCTACAATGAAATTACTTGTAATTGACAAGAGAAGAACAGACATACTAAAAACACTAAATATAATTCGAGATAAAGTTGTGTGCAGGAGTTTTTCAAAGAAAAATTATCACAGCTGAAAGAAGCTAGAAGCAATGCAAAGGAAAGCTTATTGCTTCTATCTTGGCTGAAATTCTAGACACATTGATTCGGCAGTGAAAATAGATGGACTTTTTTTCTCCAGTCATCAATCCAGACTCTAATGATGTACAGAAAGACTCTGATCTTAAAAGTGAGAAAACAGACAGCAAAGTTGAGCACGCGCCACTGACAAATCTTGGATGTGATTTGGAGTTCGCAAAGCTGGACAAGCCCATAAAAATATGTGGTGGAACTACATCAATACAGGCCATTTCTAGGAAGAATGTTGTAACAACCAATACCTATTTAATGAGTTCAGAAGAAATTTTGGAAATGGACAAGGACTTCCTGCAAAGTAGAGCAAGTCAGAAAGCTAGAAGCAAGTCAGAAAGCTAAAAAGTCTAGAATTTTGTGATATCGGGATCGTGATTATTTAACATTAACTTTATTTGCATGAAACAACTACAAAATTGAATTCAGCAATCTTGAAATCAAATTATTGAAGTGAAGAGATATTGGAGGCCATAGTTGTGGCCTCACTCACATGGTTGTGATCTGGTGTTTGAAGTTTAAAGCAGTGGCTGTTTTGGCTGCCATCTTGAAAAAAATGCTTTTTTTCTAACCTAAATTGTCATGCTAGCTGCGATTTTTTTCCAGAATCGAGTTCTATGTCAAATTTTGTCTCAGAAAGCACTCATTAACTTAAACTTTTTATTTGTCATACTCTAGTTAAAGCAAGTTTATAAAGACTATTGAAAAACCAAACAACAACTAAATAAACAATTTGAAAAAACTGTTTCAGGGACTAGAGTCACCATTTCAAATTTTAAAATTAGTTTTAATGGAAATAGTGAGCACCAAGTTTGGAACAAGTATATGCATCCTTGTAGTCAGTTCTAAAACTTCAGTTGGCCACCAAGAGATGTCTGTTGGGTACCATGGTAGAATTTAATTGTAGTAATCGATGGATTTTTGTATATTGTTTTTGTTTTTAAAGTTTCAAATATGTTTTTTTCCAAATTCTTTATTTGTTTTAGTTAGATAAATATGAAAGTCATGTTTTATAAGTAGTAAACTTAAGTACATTTGACAATGTTTTTTATTTCTGTTTTAGGAAAGACCACAATCTGATCCCTTGTGATAATTCTAACTAAATTGCTTAAAGAAATATTGAGCTATACATCTATACATATATGCATTTTTTATAATTTAGCTCATACCAACTGAAATTGTAATAAATTTATGTTTAAATGCTTTTACTGAAGCATTTAAACACAAATTAATATTTACTTATAAAGGAAAGCAATAATAAAAGAAGTAAAAGAGATGTTTTTCTTACAGGAAATATGAATTTATATTATTTGATTGTTTTATTTTAGGAATATAGAAATCTGTTCATTATCTTTTAAGTTTAATCTTAATTTATTTGAAGTTTGGTTTTAAGTTTCTTATTCCAAATGGGGTCTAGGTTTTAGGTATAAAAAAGTGCCTGCTTTTAATTAGTTTATTTGAATTTTATTATGAGATAAAGTCTTACAGTTGACTCTCAACATCTTAAACTCTCAGGGGACCAAGAAAAAGGTTCAAGATGTCGAGAGTTTGAGATATCAAGAGGATTTTGGCTTATACGAGTGTGCAAGATACTGAAAAAAAAGTTTAAGATTACTCTCGATATCTCAACTACTGGATGTAGTAGAGATATCGAGAGTTATTTTGTTGTTATTTCAACTTTATATTTTTTAGTTAGTATTTTAACTGTTGAGTAATGTTTAATAATAGAATATAATTCATCAACATTTTTAATTTTTTTTTTGAATATTCTAAAACTAAAAAGATTAAAAATTTCCACATAACTATTTAATCTTTTTATAACTAATGTTGTTTAGGCAGTCATAATGGTTTCTCATAATGGTTTTTCATAATAAATGTAAATGATTTTGTGTTTCTTTGTCATATTAGGTTCTTACTTAAAATAACTAATAGTTGCAAGAACATGATAAATTTTACAATGACAGTAAACAGATTTTGTATGGAATGTATGAAAGATGGTGAGTTCCAACAGTTACAGTTTGTAATGATTAATTTACAAAGTGGCATGTGGCTTTGTCCAAACACAAAGGTAAAAATTTTCTTAGATGCTAAGAATATATGAATAAAATTAATTAAGTTTCAGCCTCACTGTTTCAGATTTTAAGAAATATTTCTGATATTAATGTTGCTTACATAAAGTTCTTTTCAATGATATTTTTCAATGAAAATCTGTTTATCATGATTATCTACATATTTTTTTTTAAAGATAATTTTTGTTTTATTGTAAATGTCATTTCAAAAAATCCACTCATCTAATATTGAATCAGCCTTTGAAATCCGAAGGATTTCAGTTTGGCATAAGAGAGATGTACTCAGCCTACTGCAGGTTGGCAAAATTTTACTCAGCAAAGATTTGATTTGTTAAACAATATAATAGTCCAATTTTGAATAGTCCGTATAAAAATATGGACTATTCAATATTGTTAAACAATATTGAATAGTCCATATTTTTTTACTTTTCCATGTCTTGCTACTTTTTATCATTATATCTTTCTATAATTATATCTTTCTACCAGTTATCTATAAAATTGTAAATTGCTATGATCTTTTTTAAATTGCAAAAATAATATTTTTTAAGTTGAGGTGAAATAAAATATTGCTATAATAAGTATTATGTAAGGGATTGTCCATAAAGAATGTCAAGCAATTTTTTAAAGTTTAAACATCACTTCCCCCTTTCTCTAGTAACAAGTCGTCACTATTTACTGCCCCCTGCCCCCTAAAATAGCGTAACAAATTTGTACCACCCACCCCAACTTTATTTTCTTTTTATTTGTGGTTTTAAATACAATAATATTTAGATAAAGTTTTACAGAATAATAATCAATGCATACATAAATTGACTGTTTTCTGCTATGTAATTCATTACATAACATTTTATATTGCGATAAATTCATGTTGCATCCAAATAGTTATCAAAGTGTTTATCAGTTAGATTATATATGTAGTGCGAGTTATGTCTATGAAATTGCAAGATATAGTCGAACAGGTGCAACATTGTTGTAGTACAATTAACTGGACGAAGATAAAAGTACTTTCTGTTATGCCTAATAACTAAATGCGCAAGATTTGTGAAGCAATTGATGCAAGTGTTTGCAATACTCAAGGACATATATATATATATATATATATATATATATATATATATATATATATATATATATATATATATATATATATATATATATATAAAATATATATATATATATATATAAATAAATTTCAAATCCATCCTTGTATGGAATACTTAAAATAGAAATGTTATCAATGCAAGAAAAAAAATGAAATTTAATTGTATGTGTAAACTGTTGATATGTACCATGTTTTAGCAATGTGTTTAGATAATTGTTTGATAGTTAATATATCAATGTATGATAATTAATATTACCATATGACGCATACATTTCTCAACCCTATACTTGATATACTTAAAAACTGTGTATCCAAGTTTTTGCAAAAGATGAATGGTAATGTCTGTTATTTTTAGTATTATCTAGGTCATAGATATCATAATTAGTTCATAGTTATCTTGTCATAACTATATATAATTTATTACATTTTATTATCTGCAAATTATACTGAGTCAACTTATTTATATACAGATTTTGTTAAACAAATATGCATAAAATTTTAAAGTCTTTTATATTTAAAATATAGTTTTTTAATAAACTATCTTTAATATATTGGCATTGACATGGCTGTCATGATCCAAATATAATAGTTTACAAAGGCAATTTTTGTTATAACTTTTTTTATTTTACATTTAGTGCACATTTCCAATGAATTCAAGTCTTTTAAAGGATTACATTGAAGATAATATAACTAGTGAAAAAGCTCTTTTTTTCATAAGCAAAAAGAAAAGGAAGCAAAAGAAGGTTATTTTGTTCTTTTTTCTATTTACTTAAGGATTCATAAAATATTTTGGGAAGTTTGGGAAGAAGCTTCCTGAGTTCTTTTCATGTAATCTTTTTAAAATATAAAATAGAATGCATTAAAATAAGAATCATTGTTATTTTGTGGTGTTGAGTATTATTTATTTTACAGAGAAGCTGTGATGATTCTGAATTAACTGTAGATAATGTTAAAAAAACTTCACATGGTGTCCTGACCTCTTCAGAATGTAGTACAAGCTCTTTAGGCTCACCAACAGTAACAGATAGCAATGGATGTTCAGGCTCAGAAAAAAGTTTTAAAAATGATAATATTCAAAAATATCCTTTTTGGGAAAATGACAAATTATTGTGTTGGCTTAACACTTCTCTTTCATTATTAATATTAAACACCACTATTCAGAAGCATATCTTTGAAGAAAAAAGACAATGTTTTCTTTCTTATATTTGTGAAGAGTATGCAAAAATACAATCGATTTATCAAACAAAAAACTCTTACAGTCATGCTAGAAAATATCTACAAGAACTACGATACACAACACTAAAGTTTCTTGAAGCAAGACTTTTTGCAAAATACAAAGACGGGGAAACACCTTCGATCTGCCTTCCTATTCTTCTAAAGACTGATTTGAGACTGTATGAAAAAGTTAAAGTTAATTATAGCTATCAATTTAAGTGTCAAAACTGTCAGGTTGAAGGTTCAGAAAGGTATTGATTTAAATTTAAAACTATTGGTTTAAAAATTACATTTATTAATGGTTACTTATTGTGTATTATTTTAGTATTATTTCTAGTATATTATTTTAGTATTTATCTTATTTATTACCTTTTAATGAGCTTCTAACCAGTATTTTTTCAAGAGCTTGTATTAAATTACAAATCGAAGTTCTATGTCTGTAAGCAATCATCAACTATGAAATACAAAAAAAACTAAAAATTAAAAAATCCAAACTATAGTAGAGAAAGTTCTGATGTTACAAAACAAAAAATAGACATTAAAGTTTTTGATCCCCAGAATTGAACAAGAAAAGAAAGAATTTCTTTGAATTGTTTATTTTATCAAGTAAGTTGCTTCATTGTATATTAAAATTTTTTGTGGAAACAATTATTAATCTACAGTTTGGTGTCATTTTTATACTTAAGTAGGTTTAAAGTTTTCATAATGGTTAGCGTTTTTTAATTTAAATGTGGCTTAACTAATTCTAAAATAAACTTTAACATCAAGTTCAGAACGTTTAGTAGCTTTGTAAACAAACTTGCTGGAAAGATATTGGTTGTTTGATAAACTTACTTTATCTTTAGAGTTGTTGGATGAAATTGATGAATTGATGAAATTTAGGTTGTTTGATGAAATTGCTTTATCTTTAGAGTTGCATAGTTTTGATTTAATATTGTTGTTTTTTTTTGTTGTTATTTTATAAAATCTAGTGAATATATGTTTTTATTATAGATTTCACATTTGGCTATAGGTAATTTGCACATAAGTTTGATTCAAATTTTTATGTACCCTACAATCTACTGCAAAGTGCAAGTCAAATTTTCTCTCGAACTTTTATCTCAAACTTTTGATTTCAAATAAAAAGACTTTGATTTAAGTTTTATTTAAGTTTGAACTTTTTGATCAAAATTAAAGAAGAACTTTCTCTCAAACTTAAATAACAAACTTTATAGTAGCTGAATGCAGTACTACAAAGAATGTGATTTTATCTCATTCTTTGTAGTACAGTATGATTTTTAGGGCTCTTCAACATAAAAAACAGAAATCATGTGTAGTAAACTGTGAGTATACTTTTAACCTAAGGTTAGCTTGAAGAAATGTTACCTTTTAATTGTTATCATGCATTAGTTGTAATTAAGTTTCTTTTTCATGCAATGTCTACATACTCTAGCTGAATTTTTTTTTTTTTTTTTGTAATTAGTAATAAAAAATTTATTTACAAAATCTATAGTAGCGAAGAGTTGGATAAGAAATCAACTAAATTTATTATAAAAAATTTAAATTATTATAAGATTAAATTCATAACAACAAATTTATTTATTATTATTTATAATTAAATCCATTATAACAAATTATTGAGTATTAAAAGTTCTTTTAATCAATTGCCTTTAGTTTTCAGAAAGTTATGATTACAATTCCACACGCTGACACTGAATTGAAATTTGGTAACAATATATCCTTCAAGAGAACATGTACTAGTTGTAACCATGGCACCCAAGATACAACAATTTTAATAGAAAGGTAAGTAGTTATTTATGTAGAAAGACCTAGACCTAGATTAGACAGAACTCAATTTTTTGCACTGCTTGATGCAAATTTTTGACTTGCTATTTTTTTCTCGGCTAAAGCTGTTTTTTAAAAACTGAAATTAATTTTTTAATGTGCTGACTTTATACTGTTGTCATGAATTGGTTTTTTGCTAATAAAAATCACAAATTAATTTTTTAATGTGCTGACCTTATACTGTTGTCATTTATATATGAATTGGTTTTTTGCTAATAAAAGTCACAAAGTCGTAGTAATTAAATTAAGTAACCTTACGGTTGTCTGAAATTTTTCTCACTAAAATATTTTTATCCGATTTTTTGTGTAAAATTTCTATTTAGCAGTGGCCTAATTTTTCTCACTAAAATATTTTTATCAGAGTTTTTGTGTAAAATTTCTATTTAGCGGTGGCCTAATTTGCTTTAATTTTTTTTTTTAATAGGTTCTGAATTGTAAAGATTTAAACTCATTAGTTTTTTTTTAATATTTCAAAAGTATTTTAAATATTGGTAAAGATAAGGTTTGCAAAATTTTAAAAAACAGTGAAGCAGGCTACTTTATTATTGTGCTTACAACCCTCTCTCAACTCTATAACTTTGAAACAGGAACCTTAACAAGATCACTGTGCAGAGAAGCTAGCTGAGCACAGTACTACCAGGATGTGGTTAGGATCAAACTCAGCACTACTAGCTTAAGAAGCAAACACTCTATTACTATGCCACTACCGCAGTTTAATTACATCAAATTTATTCTTTGTTTCTAAAGAAAATTATTCTAAAGAAAATTATTACAATGGATTTCAAGTCATAAATATGATTGGTTGTCAAATGACATCTTCAGATAATGTCTTCGTGTGAGTTTTTGCTTCATAAAGCTATAGGGTACCTTAAAGTATGCGATAAAATTAACTAAAAAGTAACTGTAAATGTATTAGGAAATTTAAAATTTTTTGTTATCTTAAGTAAAATAACAGTAAATATGTAAATAATCAGTTTTAATAATAAATATTAAATTTTAATAAATTAAGCAAGAATAAAGTTATAAATATAATAATAATTGAATAATTGTGCTAAAAACTTGAAAGAAAATAATAAAAGTGAGGAACAACACACAATTTGAAGAGTATGTTTGTTGTTATGTATTTACACAACAAAATTGTAAATTAATTTTCATGGTTTAAGAAAATAATTTTTTTAAAAACAAACTAAGAAATTTTATCATTTAAGAAATAAATTGTAGAGTAGTAAATTTGTTTTTTAAAACAAGAAATAAGTTTCTTTCTTTAAGATTAACAGCAAAATTGTAAATCCATTGTCCATAGTTAGAAAAGTGTGTTCTTAAAACAAGGAGTTTCTTGTTTTAAGAAATTGATTGTGTGGTGGGAAATTAATTTTTTCATTTTCTAAAAACTAAATTAATTAGTTTCTCAGCAAAAAACTTTTTTGTATTCTTTTTCGCACATGGCTTGTAAAAGATTTTTATCAACTTTTTTTAAACAAGAATGGATTCTTTTTTGCAGCTGATCTTCATTTTCAGCTTCCCAATTGTTTTTATACATGTAGCATTTAAGGATTGACCAGAAATCTTATTTTGGTTGTAATTCTGGGACACATGCTGGATTATCAACTTTTGTTACATAATGGATATTTTTCTCTTCGAGGTAATTGGTCACACTTCTAGCATAATGTGAAGAGGTCAAGTCAGGCCAGAGTATATAATTACCATCACTGATGTTTGTTGATAAAAGGAACCAATCGTTTGATAATGCAATCATTTTTGTACACTGTTTGGTTAATTGCCAGTCTTGCAGGAACAATAAATGGTTTTGAGACTCTACAAGAGGATATAGTAATCCACACAAGAATTTTTCTTTCAAATTTGCTTTTGGGCTTATACTTTACATTTTTTGGTACATTTTTTACTTCATCTGAGTAAAATCCAGCATTCGAATTTTTATTTGTATGTTTATATTTATTATAAATATTTCCATACTTCAGTTGCAAATGCTTTAACTGTTTATCAGTGCGATCAGGGATTTGTTTTTTCTTAAAATAACAAATGTTTGTTTTGTTTTTTAATGTTTTTACTATCTAGGAATGATCAAACTTGAATTTATATGCAATTTTTTATGTTAAAGTTCCAGACCGGTTGTTCAAAAGACCTTTCAGGCGATTGATGTTCCTAGCAGTCATAACTTTTGGTTCTCTGCCTGATCCAGGCTTACGAGACTTTGTCTCATTGTCCTTCCACTTTGCCATATAACATTTGATTTTTTTAGGGGTGATTAGAGGCAACAAAATACTCTACGATGCTCTTCATTTTAGCATTAGGATGCAAATTACAATAGTTGTTCACTTATTCAATTAATGTCGTCGGCCATGTATACACTTTGTCAAGATGTAATTGAGAACATGAAAGTTGTAATTAAGAAATCGCAATTTGTAATTAAAAAACACGACATGTAAATTAGATATTGTAATATGTAATTAAGAAACACAAAACGTAGTTAAGAAATCATAAAAGTAATTGAGAAACACGACATGTAAATAAGAAATAACAATATGTAATTAAGAATATATAAATTGTAATTATGAAATCGTAATATATAAATGAAAATAAATAATTTGTAATTGCAAGTTCACAATGTGAGCTTATAGGTCATTTTAAAAGGTCTTCTAGAACATAAGTTTGAATAAGTTAATAGTATCAGGTTAAGCAAGTAATTATTATGAAATTGAAAGATCATTGTGTTAATTGTCAATACACTATGACCAACTTGTCCAAATTATTGGCATGAAATACATAAAACTGAGCAAGTTAAAAGAAAACATTATGTTTTATCTTCAGTGAATGACATAAGAAGAGTTGTTGAATGTGCTGAATGAAATAAGGATTGGGTGACTCGGCGCCAATTATAAGACAGCTTACAATTAAGTATATAGAGGAACTTCAAATTTTATCATAAAAGGTGGTTTTAAACTAAAAAAATAGACTGAGGGTCAAATTGAAGAAACACTAACATGGATTGAAAGTAAATTTAAATTGACATTTGTGGCCATCAAAACAAAAATATTAACACTATTTAATATTAGCGCCAGTACAATAACAATCACCTTGAAGGCAGATTATTTTCATTAAAAAAAGTGCAGAAGGAGCCTTCTACAATAAACAGTGATGAATACAAACAAATAGCGGAATATGTTAAGAATATCAATTAACATATCATAAATGCTCATCAGATAGTTTGGTTAGATTTTAACTTTTTGTAGGAAATTTGTAGGAAACAAATTTTAACCTTTTTTTGTAGAAAAACACTGTGAAGAAGAGCAATAATGAAAAAGGTTTAAACATACATTTGTCAATGCTCCATGTCACGCTCGTTTAGAAAGGGTGTTTGAAAATCCCCCAACTCAGTTGTTATGTTTAGGACCCTATATTCCAATATTAAACTCAATAGAAACAATCTGGTCCAAAATTATAAATAACGTTAAAAATGTGATTCGCATTCTGTATTCCATGCTGGGGTTTGGACAGAATTGGTACTGTGGCAAAAAATAGAATAACAGGACGTGATTGTGCACATGATGCACAACATACTATGAAGCATTAAGCAGCAATTTTGAATATGGAAGATGCCCAAGTTAGTGTTTAACTGAATATTACAATTATTTTTAAGGACATTGTTTAAATTTAATCTAAATCTTTATATTTTTCTGTTAATTTTTTTATTTATGAATTCTCAATTAAATTTTTCAAAAAAAAAGAAAGCTTTAACTGACATATGATAGGATTTTTCCAGTTACCGCCAAAATAGCAAATGCCTTTTTCATGACTTTTTTATTTTATTGATATTATATTATTTATTGAAAGCCAACCATATGGCCACCTAAGCCAAATTAGGATCCAATCTTAAATTAAAAGATAAAATTAATAACAAAATTAAAAATACAAAGATCCTAGTTCTGATAATCTATATTATGAACTTTTCTGAATTCCAATTATTATGTTCTCAATTAAGTCTTACAATTTCTAATTTACAACTTTCATGTTTTAAATTACATCTTTCATTTCAACTTTTATCTTCTCAATTACATTTTACGTTTCTTAATTACAACTTTCATGTTCTCAATTAATCTTAAAAAGGTGTAGTCAAAAATGATTTTTTTTTTAATTTGTTGAAGCGTATTCTGATTAAAACTTAATATTTATTAGTTATTTTCAATTTTATTCAATTATTTTTAATTTCTAAACAGTACTAGCTAAAAAGAGGACCTATAGGATTTTGGAACAAATAAAAAAGGACAAAACTTTGATTACTATAATTTGAACACTTTAATTTGAATGTTTTAATTTAATGGGGTTCAAATCTGAAATTTTTTTTGTTCCGATTTTTCTTATAGGATAATATATTTATAGGATCCTAAGAAGCCTATCAAGCAACCAGTAACAAATAAGTATTTTTTTTTTTGAACCAACATAAAACCATCTCTGTTTTGAAAACAACTTTGGTTGAGAACACTTTTTTCTTTAATAATGCAAAATATCATTGCACAGTCATAAACTGTCCAAAAATCCAACTTCAAAATTGGAAAAAGAAGTTTTAAACAAGTTCTAGAAAGTTCTTTACCTTTAGAAAGTATCAAGAACTTTTATGGTGTTTAAAATTTTGGAAAGAATATGAAGAGTAAACAACATTAAAAACAGTGCAAATTCGCAAAAACAATAAGATCCAAGTTAGAGTTCCAAACATCATAATTTTTTTTAATCAACCAACATGTTTAGAGCTTCTGGACACCAGAGACCATGAAAAAATAAAGTTCGCATCCCTGATTTTTACTGAACCTAAATTTTGGTACTTTAGGTTACTATTGGAATTATGATTTCAGTTGTTTGCTATGATGGCACTTAGTTAGGTTGGCATTGCCGAGTGCTGACCCTAATTCCGTTGGTTATATATATATATATATATATATATATATATATATATATATATATATATATATATATATATATATATATATATATATATATATATATATATATATATATATATATATATATATATATATATATAGATTTATATATGTATATTTATATATATAGATTTATGTATTTATATATGTATATTTTTATATATAGTATATTTATATATGTATATTTATATATATGTATATTTATATATATGTATTTATATATAGATTTATATATGTATATTTATATATATAGATTTATATATGTATATTTTTATATATAGTATATTTATATATAGATTTATATATGTATATTTATATATATAGATTTATATATGTATAGGGGAGAGTATGTATGAAAGAGCCAGGTTTTGAAAGAGCTGATGCTTTTATATATAACTTACTGGCACCCGACCATAATTGTATTTTTAGAGTTCTACTAAAATAAATAGCGTCGTAAGGGTGCACTAAAATTTTTGAAAATAAAAAGTAATTTTTTTGGGGTTTACTTATTTATTTTTAAGATAAAGAATGTTTTATTATTTGATAAAACATATATGCTGCATTGTTATATATATGTGTCCTTCTTTTCCACAAATAATATTAGATTAAAGTTTCGTTAAAAAATGTTTAATTTCAGGTGTTTTTTTTTTTTACCATACAATTTTTTGAAAGAGACACTTTTTTATGCTATGAAAAAACCGGCCTTTTTTATTTAGCTTTTTTTTTAAATTAAATAACTGTTTTACGTATTAACGACTTCATTGTTTTTCGTAATGCTTCATTGGTCATATTCTATTGAAATTTATTGTTTGAATGACTTTTCCTGAAGTCATAAAACATAGGTGCGTTTGAATCTTAAAAAATATATTCAAATAATAATAAAGTTTTTACCAAAGCTAAAATAATTTTTTTTAATATTTTAATATTATTTTTGTTTCAAATTTCCACACATTTTGTCAAAACTTATTTTGTATTATTGTATACACTCATATATCACTAGCATAGTTAATATATGTGAAATGCCTTATAATCACTATGATTCGTAGATAACATTTATCGTCAAGATGTAGTCAAAACAATATGCATGATAGATTATTAGCATTGTCATCCAATTTATTTTAATTTTATAATATTACCCAATAACGCAACTATTTAAATAAAGAAAATTTCAAATGTCAATCTTTAGAATTAAGGTCCGCATTTAGCAATGCTGACCTAACTGCTGACCTTATTTTTCTTATTTTTCTTAATTCCGAGGGTTGATATATATATATATATATATATATATATATATATATATATATATATATATATATATATATATATATATATATATATATAAACATATTAGTCAAAAAAATTAATGACACAAATTTTTTTTTTTTTTTTTGAAAATTTATATTAATTAATTACAAAACAGTAGTTAATTTTTGTTTTTTCAGGAAAAAGCTATCAATCATTTGAAAATAGCATTATATTAAAGCATTGTATTCAAAAGTTGTCAAATATAAGTTCAAATAGCATAGAAAAATCAACTGTACTTAAATAATATCACAAATAAAAAAAATTTCCAAGTTTATACAAAAAATTACTTTTCAATATTTAGTAGGACCACCCTTAGCCAGAATAATTGCCTGCAGATGCTGAGGTATTGGTTCCACTAGAGGTTTGGTTTCTTCTAGTTATTTTCTTTCATGGTTCAACTATGGCTGTTTTTAGATTATTTTGTCTTCAGTAAGCTCTTGTCTTCAATTTTTCAGTCTAGAATGTAATGCAAATTCTCAATCGGATCAAGGTCAGGGGACTGGGCAGATCATTCCATCACATTAATATCATTCTTTCAAAAATATTCCTTTGTTGCTATGGCAGAATGTTTTGAATCATTGTCTTGTTAATAGATGAAGTTATTTCCAATTCTAAATTTACTAGTAGGGGGCTTCAAATTTTGTTTTAAAATGTCTATATACGATTATTAAATGCAATATTGGCATTCATTGTTGATTCAATGAAAGTCAATGTGTTAGATCTTTAACACGCCATTGATCCCCACACCATGACATTTTCACTGCCGTGTTTTACTGTTCCTCACATGCAACTCAATTTGTAAGACTTGTCTTGTTTTTGTCAAACTTTTTGCTGTCCATCCGATGAGATTGGATTCATTACTCCAAATTACTTTCTTCCAGTACTAAGTCTTGTCAAAATAAGTTTTTGAAAATAATTATCTTTGTTTCATATGCCTTAGAATCAAATAGCGTTTTTTGCGACATACAAATCTATGCTCTTGGATTTTATTTTAGATAGTTTGAGCTGAAATTATGATTTTGTGGTCGTTTTTAAATTTGTCTACAATCTTTTGAGCAGCTTCAAATTTTTTTTGCTTGTAAAACAATGTTTCTATCAATGGCCAATTTACGGCCTCTTCCTGCTATATCAGTTGTAGTCCCATTTAAATTATACTTTTTTATAAAATCGCCAACTGTTCGAAAGGGGATTCCAGTCTGCTTAATAACTTCTTTGTAGTTCTTACCATTATTTATTAAATCCACAACTAAGTTTATATATATATATATACATACACACACATAGTATTGTATGTTAACATTTAGTATATTGATAATGCTTTTTTATACTGTTTGTGTTTTTGTGTTAATAATACATTTTTAAAGTTAATGTGAGAGTTAAAATGTAGTGCTAAAAGTGTATCCTTTTTTATTAAGGTACCCACCACTGATGTTTTGTCATTTTCTACAAGGGGTTCATAACCAAATGTATTGGAAAGATCTATCGTTTACCACTCCGTCAGGAGAGAAGTATATTGTTACACAAATTGTACAGTATGTGAATAAACGACGCCATTTTTTACTGTGGAGTTTTAGCCATTTAGGTATTTTAAATGTTTTATGTATGCATTTTTAAATGTCACATGAAGTCAAATCTTTGTAGGCTCATAGTTGCTTTCAATGTATTTCTCTGTGATACATTATGATGTCATTTTTAATCTTCCCTTATCTATAAAACGATTAAAAGCAGGATTTTAAGGTTGATGAACTATGGAAGATTAAAAAACAGTTAGAAACCAATATTTTTAGTTTGGTTTCCTGTTGAGTGACAAATTTTTCTATTTTTATACCATTCTTAGTCATTAAGCTGGAATTAGATTATTTAAGTTATTGTTTTCATAATTTGTAAATATATATTTTCAAAAGTACATATTTTAATTTAAAATACACATTTATATTGCAACTGTTAAAATAAGTTGCAATAAGATTACAGAGTAATGAAAAAAGCCTGAGTTCATTTGCGTTAAATTAAGTTTCATTACACTCATTAGTTAACTGGAGCGTTAAAATCAGGTTACTTATTTGTTTTCGCTTTTTCGTTTTCGTTTATAATTTTAGCGTATCTAATTTGTTTTATTGAACAGCGCGATTACAAAGCGCTACATTTGGTTAGTGTATTGGGAAAAGTTTTCAAAGTTCTGTCTACCACGGAAGTCTCTATTTATATTCATTAACCACTCAAACATAAAAAAACAACCTACAAAATTATGGCTTCAGTTTATTACTTAAAAATGTGTAAAGGAAGTATATTATTTCGTGAAAAGATCAAGCTGAGTTTGCATTGGTAAGTAGCCTTTTGGATGGCAACTTCGTTTCGAATTTCGATTGGTTCGTATTATTTCATTTTTTTTTTTTAATTTTGAAAGTAAATCTAATGCAACTTTCTTTTTTGTTTTAGATTGGTGCGCAAGCTGAAAGAGATTGACAGGAAAAAAAATAGCTGACAGGAAAATTAAGTTGCCGCATTAAACTGCGGGCCAATTAGGGAATAACTTAAGGTTAAATTTAAAAACAAGCGCTGGCCCAAAAATAATCAAAAGCAATGTTTAATTTAAAATGAATTTGCTAAATAAAATAAAAATTATAACAATTTATTCAAAGCTATTATTTATCAGTATAAATTTTTTCTTACAGAAAAGTTATGGTTGTGTGCCGATGATTTAAATGATCCTGTTACAGAGTATAAGTTTGCTATTCCACAATGTCCCGCATCGGAAGTTTATATACTTGTTTGGGAAAAAGTGGAAAGTTTGTCATTTGAGAAAGTTTTAAAAGAGCAATGCAGAAGTTTGCATGTATCAAAAAGTTGTGGTTACGCTTCCGCTACATCTAGTTTAGATGGTTTCTCACCGATAGGCTCTCCGTGTCAAGTAAAAAGTTCAATGGTCGGTTTACGTTATAAACCTTATGTATCGCGAAATAAACATTTTATGGCTAACAATTCTATAACTCTTTCAGATACTGTTTTATCTTCCAAAAATGACATTGATAAATTAACTGATAATTATCCAGATTTTGATATGAGATCAATCGTTGATTCCGATCTTAAGATGGATGGTGGTAAAAATTTTAATCCTTTACTTGACAATATTCTGGAACGTGTCAATGCGGTTCTTGATAGCGACTTTAACGAACTGTTAATGGAATCAAGTAATAATCAGTTACATTCTAATGTTTCTTTAGATATGTGCGACCTTGACATGTTGCTAAATTGATTTTTAAATATTTTTTTATAATTATTGAAAAATATTTATATTCGCGTTTTTAATTTTTTTTCTTTAATGCTTAAGGTGTTGTATGTTTCTTTATTTAAAATGATATTAATCCTTTCCTTTAATAGTTAAACATAAATATGCGTATATATGCATATTTATGCACATACCTACAATACGTACATAAATATATACATACATACATGCATACATACATACATACATACATACATACATACATACATACATACATACATACATACATACATACATACATACATA